GTTGATTTCGCTTTGGCTACTGTAGGTAATTATATTGGTGACAACAACCATGCATGTCACTTCTGCAGGCTGTGTCATACTCTGTGAGATAAAGTGACACTCTTTTCATAGCTTTTGCCGGCTCTGAGACACTTGCATGTTATTTCTCCTGCTCTTTTTCTAGCAAAAATTCACTCATCACTAAATGAAAACTTAAAGTGAAGACCTGATTATTTCAGGAGCCTTATCAAGTCCATTGTTTTTGAATGTTGGTGCTACTTCTGCTATATTTTCACACTTAAAACAATAATTTGGTATTCCTCTTGTACCATTGTCCTCTTTTATGCTAAGAAATAAGTCACCTGGCAGTTCTCTCCCAAGTGGTTCCACTGCTGCCAGCATTAAGTCTGAGTATGATTCAGTGGGCTATATAACACTTTTAATTGTCAGGAAATTACTTGTCTTTCATTACATGTAAAGTAAAACATTTCAAAAGTTTTTTTTTGTTTTAGTTTTGATAATTAGAGCTTTTTCAGGATATTCTATTTTTTTTTTAGATGCACCTGTACATAATAATAATACAAAGCATTCAAAGTTGTAATAATATATAATATACATACATACACATTTATTGCTTGGTGTAAAAAGTTAAATATCCACACTTAAAGATTTGTTATTTTAATTTCACATTTACATATAATTTATGTATTTCATTTATATACAGATAGATAGATAGATAGATAGATAGATAATTTATATATGAAATGTATTTATTGAATACTCTTTTTTTTTTCTTTTTTTTTTTTTCTTCCCCTATATATATATATATATATCCTCACAGTAGTCAACCACCTGTTAGTAGAATTGAGTCCTGACATCCACATCTGCGGCTTCTGCAAACAGCAGTACAACAACGTTGACCACTTTTTTGCACACAAGCAAAACTGCAGCCAGATCCCATCGACTCATATATCAGCCCGAAGCGCTGGACCCAGTGGTGAGTCTAATGTCCAAGTACTCATGTTATAATGGGTCATTATAAGTACTCAAGTTTATAATGATCCTTCATATAGTAGACTTTGCTGTTTACTAATGACAAAAAGTGTTTTTATTTTTTCAGAGTCCTTTCAGACATGTGTACCTAAAGTCAAAAAGCCCCTGACCAAAGCTCAGAAAACCCCCTCTAAAAAGCTGAAACCTGCACTAAGTCAAAAAAGACACACATGCACATTCTCAGGTTAGTGTCAGCAACACAACATTGCATTACTTATATTCATATATTTACTTTTAAGGTATTGAAAGTGAAATATCTACACTGTTTGGAGCTTAAAAGATGTTTCGTTTAATTTTGTGCCTTTAGGTTGTACATTCAAAACTCAGTATGGCCAAAAAGACATGGAGAGACATATTTTAACACATACGGGTAAGTCATTTAATCTCTGTGTTGCACCTTACGCTTTATCATTATCAAATGATGCCAAGTGAACATTAAAGTGCTGATCTCTGACTCCTTTCTTCAGGTGAGAGGCCTTTCGAATGTGAACTCTGCCATAAACGCTTTAGTCGTCGCGATAAGCTGAATCTCCACAGCCGTTTGCACACAGGAGAGAAACCACACAAGTGTAAGTACTGTCCGTACGCGGCGGCCGACAGCAGTAGCCTGAAGAAGCATCTTCGCATCCACTATGACGAGAGACCCTTTAAGTGTCAGATATGCCCCTACGCCAGCCGCAACTCCAGCCAGCTGACCGTTCACCTCCGATCTCACACAGGTGAGACAGCGCCACAGACACTGTGTGTTTCTAAGGATGTAGATAATGTTCTGAAATATGTCAGACGTTTGGGGTCAGTGAGGTATTTTGAAAGGAAGTAACATTTTTATTAAGGAAGGATGCATTGAACTGATCAAAAGAGACAGTTAAGTCTTTATAAAAATATTAGATGCAAAGAAAAATTGCTTATGTGTTCTCTTATGCATGTTGCATTCCACCGAAAAACTTTGCATTCTCTTGCAAAAGTATAGCATTCACCTGAAAACTGAAACACCTGAAAAAGTATTGCATTTCCACAAGCAACTCAAAAAACCCAAAGGTTTTACGAGAGAGCACGGAAGCATTAAAATTTCACTGTAAAAAAGGAATCATGGGTCTTGTAATTTTCCTCAAAAAAAATTAAGGTGATAATTAAAAATAATGTGTATATTTCATTAAAGAAATTGTGGTTCAGTGTTGTATAGAAAATATTGAGGACTTTTTACTAATAAAACCAAGAGATGTGTTTTCCTCAATTGAAGCCTCAAAACTGCTCAAGTTTCCTTTAAAAAAATGAGGAACTGATTAAACTAAAAAAATGAAGGAAAGAAGGCTACCTACCTAATTTATTTTAAGAGAATTAGCTCAATTTTGCCGTTTTATTTTAGAGGTGATTGTTAGTTCCCAGCATGCTTTGCATATGGCTGGATATGGAGAGTAAATTTTAAAATTAAATGCTATTTTATGTGTTTTTAAGTGAAGGGAAACGTCTATTAATGTTTAATGTTCAGTTATGTTTGACATTTGAAAGAGTTTCTGTTACATTGTAGTTAACATTGCACAGTGCAATGTGATTTATTCAGGGAGATTCCATTAAAAAAAATCAAGCCTTAAAAACTACTCAAAAATATTAATAGAATGATTTCTGAAAGATCATGTGACACTAAAGACAGGAGTAATGATGCTGAAAATTCCGCTTTGAATCGCATGAATGAATAGGCCTATATTACATTTTACGGTATATTCAAATATAAAACATTAGAAAAAGCATAAGAGAAGTTATACCAACCCAAACTTTTCAAGTGTGTGTGTGTGTATATATATATATATATATATATATATATACTGTATATATATATATATATGTTTGGGTTGGTATAACTTCTCTTATGCTTTTTCTAATGTTTTATATTTGAATATACCGTAAAATGTAATATAGGCCTATTATTTATTTCTTCCTTTGTATATAGAAAACTCTGATTAATAATAACAATTCTAATAACAAACAATAGATATCAACTAATATCTTCTTTAAAAGCACAAAAATCAAGTGTTTTTCTACTTGTTATTTTTTGTTGTTGTTGTTTTCAGCCACAACGAATTTCCTGGCACCAATAATTTTTGAGAATTTACACTAATGCTTGTGAAACTGCCAAAAGAGTAATAAGATAAAACTGGTTTTCCTGTTTTTAGTTATCAAAGCCAAACAGCTCATCTTTCCCATGTTATGAAAATTAGAACACACGCAATAAGTTAAACAAGTACGTGCGCTTTGCCCAGAAAATGACTAAATTAAAAAGTGTCAAAATATAATTGTACATCAGTGTATTTACTTGATAAGTATGTTGCTAACAAATCCTAAATTGTTGAACAGCATCATTAGAACGGTGTTGCTTTTTGTGATCGAGCAGAACAAGTTGTGGAAACTGTGATATATTGACTTCACATACCTGGATGTTTCCTCAGGTGACGCCCCGTTCCAGTGCAATCAATGCGATGCCAAATTCAAGATCAACTCCGACCTGAAGCGCCACAGTCGGGTTCACTCCGGCGAGAAGCCTTACAAGTGTGAACTCTGCGAGTACCGCTGTGCCATGAAGGCCAATTTAAAATCCCACGTGCAACTGAAACACAGCGTC